GTCTGGTTCTGTAATATGAGACACCAAATCAAGGGGTTTTGATGGAGTTCAAATAGAAGAATCCATTCTAATTAGTCTAATTGCAGCACCTGTGTTAGTGCTGCCTAGGGTTAAACAACATTGCTCATTTTGGGGGGCTATTAGAGATAAGTTTATTGGAGAGAGGTGGAAGAAATGAGCCAAAAAAAAATAATACAGCACCCCAAAGGGAACTGTAGATTTAACAGCAGAGAATCTCACTCCTTTTATTCCTACACTGTAGGAAAGAGCTGCACACATTGATCCATAATATTAAGCTACCACAATCAAAGTTCTTCTCCCCCCTCAACAGTTAAAGCATTAAGAAATTTTTCAATTCCAAATTCCACCTCTAAAGTAAGCCACACATTGAGCATGGTAGCAAGTGGTTTGTTTGTTCTTGGAGTGAGGGGACATGCACAGAAGGAACCACCTTTGCAATCAGTGCCTAATATGGAACTTAACTGCTCAAAAGTGAATGGGCTAGAGCAAAATGGACAGCTCACTCTTGGGGAATTATATGAAATCTGGGCCTCCCTCTGTAAACATCAGATTAATTTATCTGTTGATTAAGTTATTGATGGAACCTTGCACTCAAGCAGCACCATGGATCTATCAAAAGGTGTTGATGAGCTACTGCTTGTCATGATTTTCACAAGCCTCTTGATTGAAATACAACAGCCCATGTTAATGTTGCTTCAAACAGCCGTTTGGGTACTGCCAACCTCTCCAGTTGCCTGCCTAGGGGTAGTTGAGGTTTTAGGAGATCTCAATTTCCTGCAGGCTTTGCTAAAGCATTTTCCTTCCCGCAATCATACAACTGGAAGGGACCTTGAAATGTCATCTAGTCCAGTCCCCTGCGCTCCTGGTGGACTAATTATCTAGACCATCCCTGACAGGTGTTCGTCCAACCTGCTGTTAAAAATCTCCAATGATGGAGATTCCACAACCTCCCTGGACAATTTATTCCACTGCTTAACAACCCTGACAGGAAGATTTTCCTAATGTCCAACCTAAACCGCCCTTATTGCTTCTTGTCCTATCCTCAGAGGTTAAGAAAAACAATTTTTCTTCCTCCTCCTTGTAACAATCTTAACATACTTGAAAAGATATGTCCCCTCTCAGTCTTCTCTTTTCCAGACAAAAACCAATTTTTTTTTCAATCATCCCTCATAAGTCATGTTTTCTAGACCTTTCATCATTTTTTGTTGCCCTTTTCTAGATGCTCTATTTGTACACATCCTTTCTGAAATCTGGCACCCAAAACTCAACACACTACTCCAGTTGAGACCTAATCAGAGCAGAGTGGAAGAATTACTTCTCATGTCTTGCTTACAATACTCCTGCTAATACATGCCCGAATGATGTTTGCTCTTTTTGCAACAGTGTAACACTGTTGATTCATATTCAGCTTGTGATCCACTATGACCCCCAGATCCCTTTCTGCAGTACTCCTTCCTAGGCAGTCATTTCCCATTTTGTAGGTGTGCAACCGATGGTTCTTTCCTAATGGGAGTACTTTGCATTTGTTCTTATTAAATTTCATCCTATTTACTCCACACAGTTTGTCCAGATCATTCTGAATTTTAATCCTATCCTCCAAAGCACTTGCAACCCCTCCCAGCTTGGTATTATCTGCACTTTCTAGCAAGGAAAAGCTACTTTTAACAAACATGATCTTGTCACCATGTCCTATCAGCACCTCCCACTCATGCTTTCCCGCCTCACAAGCCCCTGTGTGCTGGGAAATTACCACCCACATTTTACAGATTGGGGACCAAAGCCCAGAGAACTCCACTGCTCAAACATTCTGCAATACCACTGCTCTCAGCCAGGCTCGGTTAACTTGAACAGTCAACACTGCAGGGAAGACCAGCCCTTTTTGACTTGTCCCAGGGCCAGGTGCTGAACCCAGGGGTCAAAACTCCCAGGCTAACATCCTAACCAGGACCATCCTTCCTCTCCATGTTTGTCAACTACTTTTAGTGGTGCAAGTCACTTAAAGAATGAGCAACCTATCCCTGAGAATGTTGCTCTATCAATTCTGATTAACCCAAATCCAGACTGTCACCCACTTCAGGCCCACCTGGCAGTGGTACATACATTGGTTTTATGGTCCCACTAAGACGACACAAACTTCATCCACTCACTAATCAGGCTGGCAAGGGGACGACTGAATGTCACTTTTCATATAGTCAGTTGGAACCAGTGGGGGGAATAGAACTACATCAGAGAAAACTGGCAAAAGCAGGAGGAGAAAAATTATTCCTGATGAGTATGAAAAAATAGATACCTATTTTTATCATCACTGCTTCCTTTCCCAGAGGAATTTCCAGGATTTGAGTTCATGTCAAATATTCTGCAATGATGCATAATTAGCTGCAACTCTACTTTTTAGTAGAGCAGAAATGCCACCATTTCAACCCCTACTGTGTTTAGAGTGGAATCCAGCCACCCTCCCATTCAGCTGAATGAAGAATGGGCTATTCTGACTCCAACCCTAAAGCCCAAAGCAGAGAATTACTCTTCCACCCACTACACATGAAAATGAATTCTGAAAACTTCCCAAACACTGGAATATTCAGACATCCTGATCATTTACCCCTCAGCTTTAACAGAAAATTGTCCTGGGAAATGGTCTTCGGTATTTGTCAAACTTCTCTCAATAAGGCACTCAAAAGTAGAGCTAAGCTATCCACCAAGAATGGGGGAGATGGAAAGTCAAATATATGGATTTCAAACTTACGAGTGTGCATGTGGGGGAGGTTGACACACTTTCTGCTGCCTGTCTCTCACACCCTGGACGGAATTATTGACATGTTTAAAATTACAGAAGGCCTTTTCTTGTTTAACCTGCTGCCCAGGATGGCTGCTAAGTCAGGAGACCTCAGCAGAATGAATGTTCACATCCTCCTGTATCTCACCTAGAAATCTGTTCCATCCCCGGCTCAGTCTACAGTCTTAGTACAGCCTGGCAAGGAGCGCATCAGTGAAACATGAAGAAAAAAAAAATCTGACTCACTCTGCTGAATTTTGTCAAAGGCGGCTAAAGATCCCGAAGTTACAGCATGCTGCACATTGCTGGACAACCCTTCCAAACCGGGCTGGCAAATCATCTTTTTCTAATACAGTCCAGGCTGTACTGGTTTATTCTGAGAACTAAAAAATAGAAACAATGTCTTTTATCAGTGTCAAATTCACTCCCTTGTTATCTACCGCTAAGACATTAGACAGCAAGGGATGGGGAGAGACTTCCCACTGAACAGATTGGGGTGTTTTAGAGCAATGGGGACACAAAAGTAGGGGTGGATGGGACTTCAAGAGGTCATCTAGATCATCCCTGACAGGTGTTTGTCTAACCTGTTCTTACAAAAACAACTGGGATTCCAGATCTCCCTAGGTTACCTGTTCCCGTGCTTAACTATCCTGAGAGTTAGGAAAAATGTCCTGATATCTAACCTAAATCATTAGTCAGACCAGCAAAAGATTTCTAAAAATAAAGTTCTGAGTTTTTTCTTGGCCTTCTGTTTGAGCCTTTCCCACAAGGGCTAGAAACTTCTAACATCAAAGCTCAAAGTTGCTCATGCAATACATGATTCCAGGAGCTGTGCCTTCAAGAAATAACACCAAATGTCATGATAGCTGGCAACTCTGGTATGGCAATTGCAAAGTTCTATAAGCCTTTAAGTGATCGCTCACTGTAGTACAGTATCCACTAAATGTATTGCATGGATAGACCTTGCCAGTAGGGTGCCAAAGCCCAATTGTATCTTCCCACTCCCTCTGCTAAACTGAAGCTTTTCCTTTCATTATAACATTTACCCTAAGTTCAGCAGTTGCTATTAAGGTACAAATCCTGTGGCCTTCCGTATGACTCATTTCATTCTAGCACAAAGACAAAGCCCATTTCTTTACCTACACAAACATGGATGTGATTTGATAATCAACTAGAGCCATTGATAGGTCCTCTTCATGCAGTCACAAGATATTGATCATCTCCATTGCAAACATACAGTTGATAATGTAGGGTATCAAGCAAAGCCTCTTCCCGATGCAGAAGACTGGATTTGGTACAAATAGCCTTCGCTGTTTGCCAGGTAGCATATATCAAGCTGAAAAGGTTCATAGGTGCTTCTCCCTCACTGATGGGGCCTTACTCATTTCGTGGATATCAAACCACCATTGTAGTTTTCCTGCTCTGCAAGATGCCCTTCACACTGGGTCCTCTCTACCATAATTGTTTCTCAGAGCTTTCTAACCCAGGTTGAGTGCTGCATATGTAGCTTAGGCTCAAAATTTTCTGCTCTTGAAACGGACAACTGTGGAAGGGAACCGTCCTTTAGATAAGGTAAGTCTTAGACAAAAATTGACCTCAAACAAGCAAGCACTGCAGAGAGATGCCACTGCAGTATCTCTGAACTATTGCTACAAAGCTATTGTGAAAGAGTTCAATAAACCTAAATCCCCATGCTGTGCTGACACCTCAAAAAGACTGAAGACAAATAAGGACGTGCTCTATTGAAAGCATTATATCAACGAATGCTTGTTTAATAGGAAAGGACAAAATTAGGAGGTAAAGAAACTAAAAATAATCGGAAATAAAGAGTTAGCTTCCTTTGAACTTTGCAGTGTTGTATCTGTGTCAGTCCCAGGATATTAAAGAGATAAGGTGAGTGAAGTAACATTTCATTGGACCAGCTTCTCTCTCACCAACAGAAGTTGGTCCTATGAAACATTACCTCACACACCTTGTCTCCCTTGAACTAGTCAGTCAAATTTTCAATTTGCATCCTTTAAACCCAAGAGTCTCATTTCTGTAATTCAGTTACTACTCTTATAATATTAGAGCTAACTAATCAACTTGAACTATTTCCACACTTCCTGGTTGGAATGGGTGTGGAGTGAAATCTGAAGGGTGAACCTACAGAAGCTTTTATCAAAATAGTTTTACTTCCTGCATCCAAGGAAACAAAAACCACATCTAGTTTTATATGCATTTAATAGTTTACCAATTGGTACAATAAGATTTTTTTAATATGCAGAAAACATGAATAAATTTTGTTTTACACAGTCTGAGCAACAAATCTTACTGTAAAACACAGAGCAGTATTATATACATTCCTTTACTGATTTTATTATTATTGTGTCATATCTTCAGTTAACTCCTACAGTTTGGGAACTGTTTTCTCCAACTGCAATCTCTACATCGTTCTTATGAAAAAAGTTGATGTTTGCCTTCATGTCAATGTCAAGGTCAGGATCAAATTCTAAACTTGAAGATTTCACTAACTTATCTTCAGAATGAACTGGGGGAAGCCTGAAGGATAGGTAGGACAAGAAAGCAGCTACTTACATGACACAGTGGAAAGATAAAAAGGCCAGTTAAATCCAGTCGTGACTTGTAAATCCAGCTCACTTCCCCCATCTCCCAAGTGTTCTTCCCTACCTTTTTTTTTTTACATGTAGTTTTTCTCCACTAATGGAGATTATTCTTTGTAGTAACTAGGTTTCTTTGTAACACACTGGACTTTATGTACAGCTGGATAGAGAATGAGCAGTCTAAGTGCCTTTTTCCTTCATTCAATTCAGCAATTTTTAATCTTCAAATTGTTAAAGGATTATCAAGCCACCACGGTCAACAAAAAAAGGATATATTTTTTCTTTTAAATAGCTTTTATGAGAACAAAAGCTATTTAAGAGTGATATTACCAGGCAGTTCACAAAAACAGAAGGAGGCAAACGGAGAAGCAGGGTACTGACAGTATAAGTAGACTGGGCTTGGTGAGTCTATAGCCGAAGCTTTCAAACCACTACAGTGCTCCACAGCCCTTGGAGAACTTGCTAGCAACTAGTTTTGCTTTGCTTTTTTTTTCTTTTTATTTAGTGCCCTGGGCACATCATTGGTCACACCATACACAAAAGCAGGACGGCTTTTTAATCTTCTAAAGTGCAAGATGCTATAAAACATCAATTTTCAGATTATGTCTAAACCACAATAAATTTTGCACTTTCAAGAATGCATCTAGGATTTCCTGGGCACGTTAAGTTAGCGTGGCACTGGAATGTCTGTCTGTTCTCATTCATTTTAACAAAATTCCTATTTGTCTATTTGGGAATGTAGTACTATGTGTTTTCTTTTAAAAATGCCAATTTTCGTAAGGAAAGTGACAAAGCAGCAGTGAACCTCTAAACCCTCCAATAAATTCCTTTTACAATCCAAACCAGTAACCTCATCATTGTACTTATCACAGGAAAGGCACAGGATTAGACAGCTGACAGAAAACATTGAAAACAGTGAAAAAGATCAACAGCGTAATATCAACTCATAAACCCAACTCCTGTGTTGTAGCCTTCACTTTTTGTCTAAAAACAGGGCTTTAACTTTTGATCCATTTTAGGACCATCCCTGAGATTATTCACTGCTTATTAAAGGAGAAGATTGCAAATTGAGTTGTTGCAAGTTTAAATACTCAGCAGGGTGTTTCACTTTCTCAATCAAATAAAATGCTGCTTACAAAACTTTAGTTCCTCTTTGTCCCTGTAAATCATTGCATGCTACAGGGGAAAAAATGCAGTGCACAATTTCCACATAATAGGTACCTTTAAGTTTCTCATTCATGTTTATGAATTATGTACATGTGTGGGGTTTACTTTACCCTTAAATAACTGAAGTTGCTAGATCCTATCAGGAATTAAAATGCAGTACTACTTTACAGTCGCAGATGTATAAAGAAATTTTAAAATGCACCATCTGTGTATTTGGAATTCTCAAAATAGGACAAATAAATAGCAGCAAGTTATTCCAGTTGAAACAGATTAAGCAAAAACAAAGACTTCAAATTTGTGTATGTTTTACTGTGGAAAACATTATCCTGAATGATATAAACCACTAGATCTAAGGAATTAGCCTCCATCTTCATCTGCTTTCAAAATACATTCAACGCTCAGTTTCCTCCCCTACACCAGAGGCACATTTATGCAAGGAACCAATAACAGAATCCAGCTCCTTCTGGTCATTTTATGGACCCTTTTTGTATGTGACTGTAGGAAACTAACAATCTTACCACTCACCATTTTTTCCTTAGTGTGTGTATACCCTCCAATCCAATGCTTTCCATTGAATCATTTCTTTAAAAAGGGACAGTTTTAAAAGCCATGTAAACAAAATTAATAAAACAATGCACAGAATAAATTCACCTATTAAAATGTCAGACTGGTAACTTCATTATATTGCAAATTTTAAAGTGGATTTTTAAAAAGACCTGGTTAGATAAGAAATGGATTTCTTAATTATCTACAATGGAATTTGTCACAAAAATGCTGATTAAAATATTCATTTGATATTTTCATTCACTTCGGATCAAAATATGTAACTTTAGGGATATGCAAATTAAAACTTCTACCAGAAATGGGTTACGAATTACCAAATCAGACTAAGATTTTGTTTGGTTTTTAACATTTACTTGATAGTTTCATTCCCACACTTGGGCGGCTCATTATAAGGCTATAAATGTGAAAATTATTTTTAGAAGCTTGTATCAAAATCTGTAATGGAGTCCATCACTCTACAATCAGATCCATTTTAGTGCTTTATTGAAAGAATTTGAATACTGTACCTTAAGATCTTTTTCTTACACAGACTATAGTAAATTTTGATGCAAGCTACATTAAAACTTGTTATGTTTTATATTACCTCACATTTCAGAAGGCTTTGAGGGGGCACTGACGAACCCCTGTATTCCCCTGCTTCCCACACAGAATACAGGGAGAGTGTCCTTTGATATTGGGTAACAGGATTGCACACAAACCATGTCAGAACCAAACAGTAAACTGCTACCACAACGTAGTCACTGTAGAGATTAAGCTCTAGATGGAAATCAGATCATTAAGTTCTACTAGGAAGGACGACTCCTCTTGGAAGTATGTCTAACAAGAAAAGCATTAAGCTTAAAGTTTTACATATAGCTTAACCACTGAATGACCAAATAAAATAAATATATCACATCAGCTGCTACTAAGATGTGTTCTCTTATTTCAGATTTACAAGTTAATTTGTTTATATAAATACACCACCCTTTGCGAGACAGGAGGCCAAAACAAACGTATTCTATTGATTTGGCAAATGTGTCATGACAAAAATCCCCAAGTTTAATTAATTCCCATTAATTACATATAAGGTTCAGAAGATTCTGAATTGCAGCCTTATTATCTAGTATCCTTAGAGAAGATTTATTAAGCACACTTAAGTGATGTTATATAGATACACATTTCTGAAAGAGCCCTACAAAACTTTTCCCAAATGAGGTCACCAATTCAGGCACCAACAGACAGCAGAAAGAAAAACAGGTATAATTATACAACATAGAACGACACCGTCAGCTATTCAGTTAAGTGCCCTATTTCAGTTATCCAACTTCTGCCTTCTTAGGTCTGATGTGACCAATGCCAGCCCATGTTCTTAAACCTATGGTACTTCTAGACAACGTATGTAAATTTACAGTATACAATTTGGATTCACCATGCATGAATACTTTGTGTGTAACATTTAATAAGCTCAATCTACATCCAGAATAATTTACATGAAAGGACAATATTTATTTAAACAGAGCTCAATGGATAACCATGGTATCTGAGTGCATCCAGAGGAAAAGGGGGTCAAATGTGACTTCAATCAACGGCACTCCCACACTTTTACTGTTTGATCTACACTGCCAGTAACCACATATGGTGCTGTCTTGTGGAAATCTGTGAGAAAGAGAAACTCATATTAAATGAATGCAACAATTTATAGCATTCCCCCTCCCCATCAAATCTCTTTTCCCCCAAAAAAGAGTACAACAATGCTATAAAAGTCAAGGATAAGGTCTTTGGGGCAGGGACCATCTTTTGTTGTGCTAGGCACTGTACAAACAACAGAGTCAGGGCCCATGACTGGGGCTCCTAAACACTATTGCAACAGAAAACCATAATAAGTCTAAGAAGTGTTCCCTAGAGTATTGATGGTAGTCAGAATTACCAATGAAAGTGTTAAAACTCCCCAGCCCAGGATACTATCGGAAGGGTGAAGTTAAAAGACCTTGAAACAGAATTTCAACAAAAAGCATACTCCAAATACTCTAAAAAGGGTGCAAATCTCAGCTTTTTTCTGGAGTTCTGCTACAGGGAACTATGTTCTGAATCTGAGCCACAGAGGTCCCCAATAAGATGAGCACTCCCTCCCCAGTGACTGTTCAGCTAGAAGAGTGCTGGTGTTCTCAGTTCCCTCAAGGAAAAACTCTCCCCTTTCATACTGAAATGTTTGGATCTTATTAACATTTAAATCATAAGCTCTGTGGGGCAGGGGGAAAAAAAGTCTTGCTCTATTTTTTAGAAAGCGTTGTGTAAATGTATGGTCGTATGAAATTTGTAGCATAACTTAGTACACCTTAAGTAGTTAGATTGCTATCAAATGGAAGTAGGCTCAGATCTTGCATCCTCTGGCTACAAATTGAAAACACCGTTAAGTAACTTCATACAGATCAAAGTGTTTGACTTTGGACATCAGCATATACCATGTTTTTATTCCTGGAGCAGACCGATTTAGTACTGACCAGGAATAGATGCGTGTGTATTTCACAGACTTTAAAAGGAGACTGCTTTTCAGGGGGATCTGAGAGGCATTATAAACCCTGTAATCAACTTCTGATCAGGTCAACTGGTGGACAATATGTTTTGGGAGGGCTAAGTGAAGACTTCATCATTGAAAAATTAAGAAATGGCAATCTTTAAAAAGCGGGTGCTATAAAATTTCAAATATATCTAACATGAACAACTTGATGTTATCTAACCCTCATCTGTTCTTTACTTCCCTATTGACTTTACTCCTTTTAGCAGTAATATCCCAGGGCATACAGAAAGCCTGACTCAAGTGCTAATTGTGATAAACACAAATACTTAATGGCCTAAGTTTCAGGCCTATCACTACCTTCACACAGAGGGTTTAGAAGAAACTAAAAAATTCTAAAGACTACAGAAAAACCACCATAACTAGAGATAAGAGACTCCGATAAAGCCAGCATTGTTCTTGTCTGGGTAGTATTTTAAACTTTTTGGAAAAAAAGACAAAAGCTAATAAAGCTAATTAGCACACACACGAGCGCACATGAACACAATGTAAAGTATTTAAAGGGACAGCTATTTTTAATATACTGTACCCAGAATCCCCATCCACACATACTGGTAAAATGTTTCGGACTGACAACACTGAAAAGTTAAAGCTTTTCATCCACTTCACCAGCTTGCTTCAACCCTGATTTGAAGGGAACCTAAGTGGCTTGGAGACCAGAATATGTACACGTCTCTGGCCTGTGTGCTGAAACTCAATCATGCAGGTGGAGGTTTTAGATGCAATCATTATCCACTAAAAACTGGTTTGAGAAAACGTAAGTTAATGCCATCAAATACAAGTGGTTGATTAACCTTACAAAAGTCTTGAATAGCACAAGTTTTTTCTACCAGATTTTCTCCCTGTAATACTGTATTGCTTATGTACCTTAAAATTAAACAGTCTTTTGGAACAGATTTTGTGCATCTCTGATGGCAACACTGCTTAGTGAACAGTGCATGAACTTGCATTTAAGCACACTTTATTACTGTTATTCCTTTGAGTACTGTATTTACAGTCTTCAGGGTGGATATTTCTGGCCTACAATGCAAGGAGTAGAAGTGCAGAAAGTTGGTAGTTTTGGTTCAGTGTTCTGCAGTAAGCATTGTAGAACAATACGTACCCAAAGAGGTAACAAAGTGTTCATGCGCATTAAGGGTTTTCATACATCGTTTGTTCTTGTAGTCCCAGACACGGAGGGTCTTGTCATCAGCACAGCTCAAAATAAATTTTCCTCCAGAATGGAACAGGACGCCACGTACCCAGTTATCATGGCCCACCTAATGAACAAGCAGACATAAGAAAGTTCTTACATTCTCTCTAGATCTGCTTAAAGTATTTCAACGGTCTCTCATTAGCAAGGTGTCAATATGGAATAAAGCTATTTCTTCATCACAGAATGCTAGTCTATTTTCTTAAAACCCATCCAACATTCCTTGTCTGTCCTACAAAACAACAACAGCCTTAGTGTCTTCAGGGTTGGATATTTACACCAATTTTCATCCCAGCCTTGATAACAAGTGTTGTAACAGCAACCCAAACACAGCAACACACTTTTGAATTTGCTGGGTCTCAAGACACATTTATGTAGGGCAGAATTTAGACAAAACTGTAAACTTACAGTTTCAGAAGGTGCATCAAGATACCCAATGTTATACAACCACACAATAGTACTCCAGAACCTATGCTGCTTTCACCAAGAGCATTGTATTTTATTTCTTAATGATCCTAACAAAAACCAAATACTGATGCTATTATGTTGTATATTTTGTTTTAATGTGTTTTATTTTGTTAGCTTCTGCAATGCTAGATACTTCTAAAGGAGGAGAGGTGGCCTTTAAGCTTCAAATTCATATTTAAGATCATTCATTCTGTTACTGAGTAAAGTAATATTATGTCTGCAGTACAGAAAAAACCTTACAAGGGTCATAAGGCACATGCCAGTGCTAATATCCCACATCTTAATGGTCTTGTCTCTGGATCCAGACAGCAGGAAAGGCCCAGGCTTACCACTCTTCTTAGTCTATGGAAACAAGCAGACTTTTAGATTATGGTATTTTCCATGGAAGAAAAATATGCAGACACCTTTCAAATGACACCCCTAATTTGAGTGATATTTCTAATGACCAGTAAGTGGAAACTGACAAGGTTAAGCCTACTAAGCACATACTACCAAACTAAAATAAAAATCCTGATGAACTTTGTTATTAACATTAACAAAGAAAAGTACGAGCATTGAACTATTATATGAATGCAGCAGCAAGAAATATAACAAAGTCCCCACCCACCCACCCCCAAACGACCCAAACTAAGTTTTCATTTAGGAGACTTAATAATGGTGCCCTTCTCAACTTAGTAAGATTGAGCCTTCTCATTTAACATGCTAGTGGATAACTTCAGATCAAATTCCAGAAGCAGTCCAATAATTAAATAGCAAAAAGGGAATCCAAACATATTCAATGGGAACATTAGATTATCAAGACATACTATGTGAAGATTCAGAATACAGGAAGGGTATTACTCTCTCAATTAACTGATTATTTGGAAACCCTTACTCTGTGTGAATTTGTTTCCATTATCCCCAATCCCAAATATCAATGCAATAGTCGGTTGTTAGCTGCACAGCTGAAAGATTTCAATCATAATACACCCGCTTCTTTTTCAAACTAGACTGCTAACAGAATGTATTTGGTTAATGAAACCAGAAGAGGGCAGGAGAGAGCATTACTTTGGTAACTAATTTCCTCTTGCCATGGTAGTTAACATTTGGAAATTACTTCAAAAATTATAAGTACATTAAGTGTTTTTAAAAAGTGAATAAAATCATCTCAACTGACATTTGTCCAAAACCTGTCATTCTGACAAGTTACTCTATAGTTTACATTGGTCTATTGCTTCTTTTATTTCACCTAAATAAAAAGGAACTTCCAACAGCCTCTGTCCACACAGCAGTAGTCACATTTTATATCACCCTTAAAAGTGATTTGCACAAACTCTGAACAAACCTCTTACTGATGATTTACCTCTAAAGACTTTAGGCATGTGGGTGGGGGGGGAGGGAGGGGGAGGGAAAGAAAGAGAGAGAGTGTGAATCTCTTGTGTACTAGGACATTCAAATCAAAGCTCAACTCAAATGAAGTCCCCACAAATCCGTTAGTAGGCAGCCTGCCTCTTCATTCCAGAATAGTTTTCCCTACCACTTCTCAAATGCCCTTTAGGTGATTAAAGGAACTGAACTAATGACAAAAACGTACCATCTCTTTTCATGTTCCTTGCAGGTTGAGAAATGGGGCTTCTTAAAATCAGAGCATCTCACCCTTCTCCCCAAAAGCAGAAGAAACTTGCCACTCCTGCCTCCCCCCTCCCCACCCCGACCTCCTGATAGTAAGTGCACTTGTAGCTCCTGAATTTACACAAAAAGGTCAATAGAAAGGGCACTAGAACCTGGGAGCTCAGGAAGTGATGCTGATAGGAACAATACCCCAAATGTGTTGTCATATACCCCTTGCATCCAAATATTATAAAAAACGTTTAATGATTGGGCATTTACTTTTAATACTCCAAAACCTTTACAGTTGTCTTTGTATCATATTTGCATTGAACAGGAAGGAAAGAGCTGTATTGTATTTATGCTTACCTCGGATCCTGTAGCTTCTGATATGGTGGAGTAGGAGCTCTCAGGAGCCCAAGAAATGCATTCTACCACATGCTCATGTTCTCGAAGCTCAGCTTTGCATTCCTTTGTTGCTACCACCCAAACACGCACTGTCTGGTCATTAGAACAGCTGGCAATCAGGGTGCCATCCTGATTAGGTCGCACCATGCGCACCCATTCTCTGTGCCCCGTGAAAGTCTTCACACAATAACTACCAAACATAAAGGCAAGTAATGAATCAGTCCAAGCATGTTGCTATAAAAATCTGGTGTAGGCAGCTTTATGGTTTAGGGACACGGGGGCTATTGTTGAAGTGGCTATGACTATAAGGTGGTCTACTCATGAACTGAATCATCAACATGCTGGCTAAGCAAGATGGAAAAGGCTCTAGAAGAGTTAAAATTCACGGACAGAAAGGTCACTAGATTAGAAAGAAAAGACAGCTAAAATAAGCAGATAGGGAAGGAAGGAAATATGAAAGTAGTAAAACAGCAGGCCTAGAGAAAAACTAGCGCTGAGAAAATTAATCTGGGTAAAAAACGAGGCTTTTTAAAAAGACATCGGGGAGATCTAGAGACATTACAGAAATACTTACTTGTGTGTTCAGAGCATACAGTGGGGGGGAAGAGAAGGGAGAAGCGAAGATTTATGGGAGGGTGTTACCTACTGAGGAATGACAGTACAAAGATGGGAAGAGGCTTTTGTCCACACCAAGAATGGCACACCTCTCTGGTAGTTATAAAGGTTCAGTCATTGTGGCTCAAAACTATATTGAGCCACAATAATCTATTGATTATATTTCTGTAGTAGACCAAAGCTCACAAGGAGGGGAATCAATATGTGGTTACTGGATCTTTGGGGCCCAGTCACTTAGGAAAAATCCTTTAGCAGCCAGTCTCAAGGCACAGAAGCCAAAGGGTATGTGGTGATGACATTCAAGCTATATATGGTACACTTCTTACAAAGGGTACACAGTGTTTCCTTTCGGTATGGATGCTTTTTAACCAGAACTATACTTACCCTGTTTGAACTTCCCACATTTTGATGGTTTTATCCCTTGAGGCAGAGACTATGTGATCTCCGTTGGGCATGATGGCTACTGAAGAAACATTATGATCATGACCTAAAAACAAATCAAGCTTGTATTAAGTGGTGCTCTGACACACATTATTACAATGCATAAGCAATCCAATGTTCAATTCTCTGGAGAAATTAAACTACGATGTACTACACATTTTATGGGAGAATCTTAATACAGAAGCTTATGGGGGTATTTTATGAGCTAAGTAATATTTCAATGCATCTGCACTAGCATGTCAAGTGTTTCTGTGTGGCAGTGTTTGGGCATTAAAATATTAGCCTCACTCCCTTTTGCAATTACTTTTACATACATGGTGTGCATTATAGGGTAACCACTGTTTACAATAAATTCTGCAAATATGACACAGCAACACCATGTTTCTTGGAAAGAAAACTTTGAAGGAAAATAACTCAGGTTTTCACCAAATGGGCAAGAACAAGACCTAAATGAAAATCCTCATTCAGGGGCTTAACACAATTTTAAAGATTAAACATTTCAAGAGTGCCTCATTGTAGGCATTAGTTATAGTACAATAACTGCATCATTGAGAGCAACATAACTGATGATCTCTCCTCCTATTATCTAGTGACTTAAGGAATGGGATCAGGATGGGTCAGAAAAAAATCAGTTCTGGTCCTTGCTCTTCCAGATTCACGGTGACCTTGGATATGTAGTTTCACCACTTGGCTTCATTTATCCCCATCTATAAGAGAGGATACTACCATCCATCCCACGGGTGTTGAGGATTAATGAATGTGTTTTGGGTCAAGAGATAATATTTTAAACATCTGAATAAAAAAGTGTTAATGAATGGAAAGCATTAGTAAATTTTGCTGAAATAATTTTAACAAATCTCCTCTAGAAAAAGTGTGTGTATTGTTTTGACAAGTCCAATAAAAATGTTTTTGACCATATCAACAATTATATTTGTCCACTCATGTAGAGGTTCTTAAACATTTAAGATAAATGCAAAATAACTTACAAAAATACTGCCTCCAGTTAAGATGTTGGGGCAGAAGTTAATATTTCTAAAGCTTTGGGTACAATGATTTGAATAATCTCAGGGCAACAGTTTAAGAGTATTAATTTAAGCAACCTCCTGTGTAAATATGAAATTCTAGTATTCCCCAAAAATTAGGTTACTAATAAGGAGGTTTTAGTGGTATGCAAGACATTTATTCATAGATATCTGGTAAATGCATAAACAGGAAGACTCACTGAAAAAAGTAAATCTTGCAGAATTTAAACTCCCACTAAAAAAAAATTAACCATTTCAGTAGATATCAAAAGAGTCAGAGGAATGCTAGTTTTTAGCAGATTTTCTGTACTTCATACTGCTCCATCAAAGTGATAACCATTTCAATGGTCATTTTAAAAAAGGAAAAAGGAAAAAACCAATGAAATTATGAAGTATGGAGTGAAGCCATTTCGCCCATACCCATGTTAACTGAAAAAACATAGTTTACAAAAAACAAATACCCTATATGCTGGACATATGTACAGAGGTTCTGAAATACTGCAGTAACCAAGGATCATTAGCATAGCAAGGGGAAAAAAAAGAGAGGCAACAACACAGATGGCATGTACTTTCTGTGGCACACTTAAGGTGAATACAGCCCCCATTCACCTACTGCTAAATGACTCAGTGATGCTTAAAGAGCAGCAGATGCTTCACTGAAGACTCTGGGCACGAGAACATAAGAACAGTCATACTGGGTCAGACCAAAGGTTCATCTAGCCCAGTATGCGGTCTTCCAACAGTGGCCAATGCCAGGTGCCCCAGAGGGAATGAACAGATAATCAAGTGATCCATCCTCCATCGCCCATTCCCAGCTTCTGGCAAACAGAGGCTAGGGAAAACATTCCTGCCTAATAGTCAATGATGGACCTATCCTCCATGAACTTTAGTTCTTTTTTAGTTATAGTCTTGGCCTTCACAACATCCTCTGGCAAGGCGTTCCACAGGTTGACTATGTGTTGTGTGAAAAAAAACACTTCAGTTTGTTTTAAACTTGTTGCCTATTAATTTAATTTGGTGACCCCTAGTTCTTGTTATGAGGAGTAAATGACACTTCCTCATTTACTTTCTCCACACCAGTCATGATTTTATAGACCTCTATCATATCCCTCCTTACTCGTCTTTTTTCCAAGCTGAAAAGTCCCAGTCTTATTAATCTCTCCTCACATGGCAGCCGTTCCATACCCCTAATCATTTTTGTTGCCCTTTTCTGAACCTTTTCCAATTCCAATACATCGTTTTTGAGATGGGGCCACCACATCTGCACACAGTATTCAAGATGTGGGCGTACCACGGATTTATATAGAGGCAATAGGATATTTTTTCGTATTATCTATTCCTTTCTTAATGATTCCCAACATCCTGTTCGCTTTTTTGACTGCCGCTGCACACTGAGTAGATGTTTTCAGAGAACTATCTACAATGACTCCAACATCTCTTTCTTGAATGGTAACAGCTAATAGACCCCATCATTTTATATGTCCAGTTGGGATTATGTTTTCCAATGTTCATTACTTTGCATTTATCAACATTGAATTTAATCTATCATTTTGTTACCATCTCTCAGATCTGAGAGATCCTTTGTAGCTCTTGGCAATCTGCCTGGGACTTAACTATCTTGAGTAGTTTTGTATATCTGCAAATTTTGCCACCTCACTGTTTACCCCTTTTTCCAGATCATTTATGAATATGTTAAATAGGACTGGGCCCAATATAGACCCCTGGGGGGACACCACTATTTACCTCTCCATTCTGAAAACTGATCATTTATTCCTAACCTTTGTTTCCTATCTTTTAACCAGTTACCAATCCATGAGAGGACCTTCCCTCTTATCCCATGACTGTTTACTTAAGAACCTTTGGTGAGGGACCTTGTCAAAGGCTTTCTGAAAATCTAAATAAGTTATATCCACTGGATCCCCCTTGTCCACATGCTTGTTGGCCCCCTCAAAGAATTCTAGTAGAGTGGGGAGGCACGATTTCCCTTTACAAAAACCATGTTGACTCTTCCCCTAATTATGGTCATCTGTGTGTCTGAATTTTGTTCTTTACTATAGTTTCAACCAGTTTGCTCTGTACTGAAGTCAAGCTTACCGGCCTGTAATTGCCGGGATCACCTCTGGAGCCCTTTTTAAAGACAGCAGGTGGGCAGTTAATTCTCTCTCCACTTGTTATTTAGTAGACTTTTCAATACAAAATTTGTTTCTTTAAAAAAAGATTATCAAATCCTGCTGATCACTCATTTCTAATACAAATTAGCTATATCACAAAACAATTATCTTGAGATGATGCAGCGGCATATGAATACTTTTGTTCAGAACTTTCTGAAGACTGCAAGGGTGGCCTTCATATTCTCCACCCCACACCCACAACCCATCAACTCCACCATGTGCCTTTGTAACCTTGAATTCAGTGAGCCTGGAGGTTTTTCACTTTCCTCTGCACCATGGGGCACAGATCACTTAGTTTAAACCCATATGTAAAGAGTGAATTCTCTGTAACTGGAAGTCTTTAAATCATGATTTCAGGACTTCAGTAACTTAGCTTAGGGATCTATTACAGGAGTGGGTGGGTGAGGTTCTGTGGCCTGCAGTGTGCAGGAGGATCATGATGGTCCCTTCTGAGCCATGCTATGGCTCCTGAAATTCTGACCGATTGGGAATGTGTTCATCCACCATTGTACAAGGAACCCACAATTTACATACACACTTTATAGACCAAGAGCGGGAAGCATGTTAATTCAAAACAAGAAAATGTGGAACAAGAGATTCCCATAAAAGGTAGATTCAATATACCAAGCAAAATAGTAAAAACCACTTTTATTCTTCCCACATGTACCTCGCTATTTTTTAAACCCCCATTCCCTTGTGGGATGGTCCCATTTTCTATTGAACTCTGGACACAGCAAGTACTAAAGCCATCCATCTGCTGTTTCACTGAAACCACCACTACAGATATTTTATTTCCAGTACAGTCTCACACACAGCAGATTAGAGTTGCATTTTCAATTAGCGATGGGACATAATACACAGTTATGTACAAGGCACTCCAAAGGTTAAAGAGAACTCTTTTTGGTATTCTGATTATATATCCGTTCTCACACCAGCAGTTTTCTGGATCAACAAAATAAAAACAATTGATTTCTCTTCATCTTATAGATCACTAAGTCAGTCTCCTTACCATGCATGGTTCTGATGCAATCAAAGCCCTGGAAATCCCATAGCTTAATGGTCATATCAGCAGAACAGGAGGCCAAGAGTTTGCCACTGTGGTCAAAAGATATATCCTGCACAGAGTCTGTATGTCCCTTAAGGGTTCGTTCAAAATCGCCTGTCTCATAATCCCACACCTGACAAGTGAACAGAAAATTCGTTAACACCAGCTTATCACTCTTCATGTTTCTCAGCTTTACATTTGCACCCCACAGGCTAGTCTGGCACCTTGTTCAATAATTAACTTGAGCAGGAGACAAAGGAAAACTGTCCTAGAAAAGCCAAGCAGTGGAGGAAAATAAGATGTGCTATATTTATATGGTTTAGTTACTTTTAAGTTAATTATATTTAGAGAATAGGTGCACTTCCCAGATTTCAAAATAAATTAATGTAAATGGTCTCCTCTACAATGTGAATAGGAAAAGAGTTTGCTGCATCCCTGAAAAGTCTTGATACAATTTACCTTTTAAAAAAAAAAGAAAGAAAGAAAAAGATCACGCAAGCGAGTAAAATTTTAATTAGGTAGAAGAGTGTGTGTGTGTACATATATATGCATGCAGAGTCCTCTTCTCTTCCACCCGTTTCCCACCCACTTCCACAAGCCCTTTCCAGTGTTCTTCCCTTACACCCTACCCCTTTCTAAGCATCAGTGTGCCGCTAGTACTTATGCGATGCTAAGGAGCCATATGATCAGTACTCCCTACTGGAAAACAGTGTATGAACTCTGCAATATGCAGCATTTCGGTCAGGTTAGGGAAGAAGATCTGAGGTCACTTCCAAAATTTAATATTAAGTAAACAGACTCTTGCATCAGCCAGGACACTAGTCAATAGAAATATGAAACATATTTGTGGTAAATATGGAGCTAATTAAGAGGTGAAAATGAAGTATTCACACTATTACTTGCCAATACTCTAATAATGAACCATGAACATAAACCTGCTTCACTCTAAAAGAAACAAGCTACTACAGATGTTAATTTCTTTAATGCCATTGGCCTCATCACAATCCAACTGAGGATTAACTAAATTAAGAGTTTCACTTTATAACATTTAGAAGCATGAAAACATCTGTGATTCTAAAATCTTTAGCCTTATTTAATACTGCAAATAAAATGAGAGGTGATTCTGGTCACAGCTATTGTAAGGATTCATTTCTGATGTGATCTGGTTTCTAAGGTGGCAACGCATAATTAAAATAGCCATGGTTTATGCTGGACCTACAAAATGTATGGTTTATAATCTGTCTAGCTCTCCACCATCACTTCAGCATTACTCGATGTGTTAACAAGTGATAATGCCTGTTTAGAAAAATGACAGATGGTACTAAATAGTTTGAATTAAAGAACAGCACCCACCAGAGAAATTTCTTCTAATAGAAGAGAGTGAAGGATACAGAAGAGTTTATGAAAAAAAAGTTTCCAGTAACATTTAACAAAGGCATGTAAGAATGTCACTAAACAGTTTTAGCTGACCTTGTTAGAGAAATAATTCCCTCCCCCCGCAGGAACGGCATGCCTTAGAGCCTGGAATTGTAGGCTCTGCTAGAAGACGGGACCTTGTTCGTTTTTT